AAGATATGAGTCTCTCTGTAGCATGGAGTGTTTTCATCTTCTTAAAACCGTAACCCTAATTCTTGACCGAATAAGGATACTTATACTTCCTTGGTAAGAACACTCTCCAAAAATATATTTGATTGTAGATGGTAGGACAATTTTTGAAGAATGCAATCTTAAATATTCGGTCCATACCTTCCAAAACAGATCCGCTGATATTCTTTCCAAAACTGTCTTCTCAAACCGCGTTCAGCATTTTGGAAACATCTTCCTTTATCAGATCTTCAATGTCAGTGTGTCTGTTGATGAACCTGATCAATCAGTCTTCTGTAACAATAAACAGACACCAAGCTAAACCCTATCTTAGTTTGCCATAATAATATTGCCAATTATATGTTGGAGTTTTTGGAGAAAATAAATACACTAACATAAATAAATAAATAAATAAATAAATAAATAAATAAATAAATAAATAAATATATATATATATATATACATATATATATATATATATATATATATATATATATATATATGTATACATATATGTATGTATACATATATGTATGTATACATATATGTATGTATATATATATATATGTATGTATACATACATATATATATACATATATATATATATATATATATATATATATATATATATATATATATATATATATATGTATATATATATATATATATATATATATATATATATATATATGTATATATACATATATATATATATATATATATATGTATGTATATATGTATGTATACATACATATATATATATATACATACATATATGTATACATACATATATGTATACATACATATATATATATATATATATGTATATATATATATATATGTATATATATATGTATGTATACATACATATATATATATATGTATACATACATATATACATACATATATATATATACATATATATATACATATATATATATATATATATATATATATATATATATACATGTATATATATATATATATATATATATATATATATATATATATATACATGTATACATATATATATATATATATATATATATATATATACATGTATACATATATACATATATATATATATATATATATATATATATATATATATATATATATATATATATATATATATATATATATATACCGAATCAGGTGAGGACCTATCCTTAGGTGAGAACGTGAGGACTAATCTGATTCTTTCGTTTAATTAAGCCAACGACTGTGATTTAATTATATGCAAAACGACGTCGTTTTTGCCAATGGGCACAATGCATTGTGCGTCCTGGTGCACGATATAATTTTCCATTGCTTATATCTTAGACCTTGATTCAATTTTTTTTTTAAAATACGAATAAAATCAATGTATTAAAAATTTTCTCTCTCTCTCTCTCTCTCTCTCTCTCTCTCTCTATATATATATATATATATATATATATATATATATATATATATATATATATAATCATGATTAAATGAAAATAAGACTTATGATAAATAAAAAATTAGATTAATCTAAGGTTTCAATAATCAATATTTTAGAAAATAAGACATTGTTAGAAATCACGATATTTTCGATCACATGAAAATGATTGGAAATGCCCTAAATCCGGTTAGAAACACCCTTTCTTTAAAAAATTTCGACTAAAAATTGACTCTGATCACCCGCAATGGTGGTCGGAAATAGCGACCACTAATTCCGATGAGGATACGATATATCTGAATTAATAATAATGAGTCTGTACAGGAGTATATATAGTAGTGAATAGTAAACCTATTACAAGACGAATACTAATAATAATAGGTAACGAATACTAATTACTAATAATAATAGGTAACGAATACTAATGATGATAGAGTCCTAATACTCCCCCTCAAGCACAAGGTGGACTAGCAACAACATTGAGCTTGCCACATAGAGTAGAGAAACGCGGACCAGGGAGAGCTTTAGTGAACACATCAGCGAGCTGATCCTTTGTGGAAATGAATCTAACCTGCAACTCCTTCTTCGCCACTTTGTCACGAACAAAGTGGTAATCAATTTCCACATGCTTCGTACGAGCATGGAACACCGGGTTGGAACAGAGATAAGTCGCATCCAAATTATCACACCAGAGAGTGGGAGGAGCAGCCAATGACACTCCAAGCTCGTGCAACAGAGAAACCAACCAGGTGACCTCCGCAGACACATCAGCCAGAGCCTTGTATTCAGCCTCTGTAGACGAACGAGCAACCGTGCGTTGCTTCCGACAAGACCAGGAAATCAGATTGCCACCAAGAAAAACCGCAAAACCACTAGTAGACTTCCTGTCAGCTGGATCACCAGCCAAGTCCGAATCCGAAAAGGCATGAACCGCAACAGAGGAGGAAAGACGAATAAAAAAACCAAAGTGCAGAGTTCCTTTTACATACCGCAGAACACGCTTGAGCATAGCCCAATGCTCAGTGGTTGGAGAGTGCATATGCTGACAGACCCGATTCACGGCAAAAGAGAGATCCGGACGAGTAACAGTAAGATACTGTAGAGCCCCAGCAAGACTGCGATACTGCGTGGGATCCGCATAGGGAACCACAGAATCAGAAGAAGGTCGGGACACAGGAACCGGAGTAGCCAACGGTTTACAGTCCACCATACCTGCACGGCTCAAAATATCTCGCATGTATCGCTGCTGAGAAAGAAACAAACCACCATCCTTGGAGACCGTCTCAATGCCAAGAAAAAAAGACGGAGCACCCATGTCACAAATCTTAAACTCCGAGGCTAAGTCAGTAAGAAGCCGAGTAACACACGAAGCATCAGACCCCATAACAAGGATATCATCAACATAGACAAGCAAATATAAACAAATAGAGGCACGAGTATAGATGAATAAAGAAACATCAGTCTTGGAGGGTGAAAAACCAACCGACACCAAGAAAGCATGCAACCTATTGAACCACGCTCGAGGAGCCTGCTTAAGACCATAGAGTGACCTCTGTAACAAACACACATCATCCGGCCGTGACTGGTCTTCATAACCGGGCGGCTGTCTCATGTAAACTGTCTCTGCAAGATTACCATTGAGGAAGGCGTTGTGAACATCCAACTGCTGAATGACCCAACCGCGAGAAACGGCTAAAGAGAGAAGAAGCTGCACGGTGGTGGGTTTGACAACAGGACTGAAAGTCTCAAAAAAGTCTTGCCCAGCGACTTGATTGAAACCCTTTGCGACCAATCGAGCCTTGTGCCGCTCAATCGTGCCATCGGCCTTGCGCTTCGTTCTGAACACCCATTTGCACCCCACAACATTCATGCCAGGTGTACGACTAACCAGACGCCAAGTGTGATTCTGAAGCAAGGCATTAAACTCAAGATCCATGGCCTCACGCCACTCCGGATACCGAACTGCCTGAGAATAACAAGTCGGTTCAGGAACAGTCATAAGAGCCACATGCTGCGTCGGTCCTTGAGAACGGGTTGGCATAACATGAGACCGAGGCTGAACAGGCTTCGCCGTACGGCGGCCTCGCTTGGGCGCAGTAGGAGCACCCGAGACCGCCCCTTCCGGAGCCGTAGCAGTCATGGTGCGAGAAAGTGAACCAGCTGCGGCAGCCCCGGAATCCGCGTCCAACTCCGGATGAGGATCAGGTCCAGTGGGACAAACATCGGAGGCAACACCAACCCGAACGGCACCAACACCCCACGGCTCAACCGGGCGAGAGCTAGAGACCTGAGAAGGCATAGAAGAAGCAAACGGATATACGGTCTCATCAAATCGTACATGACGACAAATGAATACCTTGTTAGTAGCAGGATCTAAACAACGATAGCCACGAAACGAAGACGGATAACCAAGAAACACACACGGGGATGACCGATACTGCAACTTGTTACGATTGTACGGGCGCAACAGAGGATAACAGAGACAGCCAAACACACGCAAGAAGGAATAAGAAGGATTAGAATGATGCAAACGATAATGAGGACTGACATTGTCTAGAACTTGAGTAGGCATTTTATTGATGAGATAGACCGCAGTCTCAAAGGCATAATCCCAATATCGCTGTGGAACCGAAGCCTGAGCCAAGAGAGCCAGACCTGTTTCCACAACGTGACGATGCCGACGCTCAACTCTACCATTCTGCTCATGGGTATAGGCACAAGATTGCCTATGATTGATACCCAAAGAGACAAAAGTACGGTGCAACCGTTTATACTCTCCCCCTAAATCAGATTGTATAGAGACAATCTTACGACCATATGAACGCTCAACTAGTGACCGAAACTGCTCGAAGATAGCATACACATCAGTTTTTAATCGCATAGGATAAAACCATACATAGCGTGTGTAGTCATCAACAAACAAAACAAAATAACGAAAACCATTGACAGAAAGAAAAGGCGCTGGGCCCCAAATATCAGTATAAATAAGCTCTAAAACATGCGACGTAGTAGTATTGACACGAGGCAAGGGAAACCGAGATGATTTCCCAAGCATACAAGCACGACACGACACCGAACTATTACTAAAACTAGAATCAATGGAACACGAATTCAAAATCTGCCGCAAGACACGAGGATGAGGGTGACCCAACCGACCATGCCAAACGTCAGAGGAGACACGCGAAGCCACTAATGCAGAGGGACTCGAACGAGAAACAGGCCAAGAATAGAGACCCCCCGAAGCCTGCCCTCTATACAGAACTTCCCTGGTTGAACGATCCTTCACAAAGAAACAATCAGGGTGAAATTCAAAGAATACATTATTATCACGGGCAAACTGTTGCACAGATAATAAAGACGCAGAAAGCCCAGGAACAAGAAGAACATCAGACAACCGAAACAGTGTTTTAGAAGAGGCTACCGAAGACGAACCAGTACCAACAATAGGTAAAAACTTACCGTCACCAACACGAAGATGATCCGGACCGTTATAAGAGACCGTCGAGGACATCAAAGACGGATCTGGGGTGGCATGGTTCGACGCACCAGTGTCGGGAAACCATTATTGAGTGCTAACCGAAGCCGCATCATCCACAGGATACGCAACATGCGCTCTCGGCCCCGGAGCTCCATCGTACCGGCGAAAGCACGAAGCGGCCGAATGGCCCTCACCGGAGCAGATCTGGCACTGGACAGCCCTGGCACCGCCACGACCACGGCCACGCCCTTTGCCGCGACCACGGCCGCGGTTGCCGCCTCCACGCTGTTGCCCGCCCGAACGGCCTCTACCTCGCTGAGCCGCCATGGCGACCGGAGCAGCAGCAACATCACCAGCATCATCGGCACATATAAAAGCCTGCGAAACAAGAAAATCGGATAGCTCGGGCAGAGACACCGGAGCACCCCTTGTGAGCGACGCCACCAAAGGATGATATTCGGACCGCAAGCCTCGGAATATATACATATTCTGATCCTCTAGCGTCACCGGACGGCCGGCAAGCGCTAAATCCTCGATAAGCACCTGCGCGCGGCCAAGATAGTCCGGGATCGAAGCATCCCCTTGCCGTAATCCTTGCAACTCGCCCACCAACCGGAGGGCACGAGCCCGTGTAGTCGAACCAAGAACCTGTTCGATTGCCAACCACAAATGTCGAGAAGTGGACTTACCGATTGCGAGGTGCATCATCTCGTCGGACAAGGATGAGATTAATAAGGAGAGCACGACCTTATCTTGACGGAGCCATGCACTCCGAGCAGCGGAAGACGAAGCCAACGAAGGCACGGCAGGAACAGCTCCCTCGGCAGGCGGCACAGCAAGCGCGGTGATCGGCGGACATACCGAAGTACCATCGACAAAACCCAACAACCCTTGGCCATCCAAGAACGGAAGAAGCTGAGTACGCCAAAACAAAAAATTGCGGGATGTCAACTTGATGGAGACGAAGTGATGCGCCGAAGAGAAAGACACCCCCGACTGCAGCGGTGCAACAAGCGCGGCCTCGGAAACGGTCCGTTCAGAACTACCAACAGAGTCGTCATCAGATCCGAGGTGCGCCATTAGAGAGAGGAGAGAGAAACCTGCTCTGATACCAGATGAGGATACGATATATCTGAATTAATAATAATGAGTCTGTACAGGAGTATATATAGTAGTGAATAGTAAACCTATTACAAGACGAATACTAATAATAATAGGTAACGAATACTAATTACTAATAATAATAGGTAACGAATACTAATGATGATAGAGTCCTAATAATCCCAAGCAGTCGGAAAAAAAACGTTCACCAACAGATTGGCTGGTTCAAAATTTCCAGGCCAGCCAACTGTTGTGGTCAGGAATTCCGGACCAACTAACTGTTGTGTTCAAAAATTCTGACCACCCGTGGTCGGAAATAATAAGTATTTTTTTTTTAAAAAAAAATACTATTTCAATATGCTCTTTCATACAAATTATACAATTCTTTAACAATGAGTTAATTCACTTTTTAGTCCTACATTTATAGGTGACAATCCACTTTTAATCTTTTTTTTTTTTCGAAACAGCTTCCTTTAGTCCTAGTATTATTGTGACATGACCAGTTTTTGTCCTCAATCAAGAAAATAGTTTAAATGTCATTAAATATAAGGGCATTTCAGTCTTCAATTATGAATTTTTCAAAAAGATAAACATAAAAAATATAACAGGTCAACGCACTTTGTATTAAAAAGATCGAAATGTCGTTTATTTAATGAAATTTCAACGGTTTTGTTGATGAATGACCAAAAAAAGTCATGACACAATAATATTAGGACCAAAAGGGGATGTTCCGATAAAAAAGGGACTAAAAGTTGACTGTCACCTATAAATCTAGGACCAAAAATAGAATTAACTCCTTTAGCAATTTTAAAACAAGTAATAATTGCATAACAATACAATATCACTACAAAAATTATACACTTCAATAACAAATTTAATTACACATAATGGTTTAATTCTAATATCCACCTCCAAAAAACTAGTTTCCAATTCTAAAATGCTACTTTACAAATCAAAATACTTCCTACATTTATACTCACAAGTAACATAAAAAAAAAAAGTTAAAATCTTTGATTTATTCCGCTTGCAAAGGAAATTGTGTGTCATCATTCAATCCGATGTCATCTAACATATTCAATTTTATAAATATTTAGGCGTGTTAGTGAACAGAGCTTTCGGCAAACTACTCGTGTTCGTGTTTGGTAAGCGTTCGTTTATGTTCGTTTGTTAAGGTAAACGAACCATTAACAAACAAAATTTAGAGCTCGGTTAATAAACGAACAGAGCTTGAACAGTTGTATGCTCGTTTGCTAAGAAATCGTGAACAAGCTCGTTTGTGTTCATTTAAGAATGTTCATGAACATGTTCACAAACATATATATACATAGATTATATTGTGATCATGAACGTTGAATATTTCATGAACGTAGATTATTTGTTGTTCACGAACGAATTGTGATCATAAACATGTGCAGGTGTTTGGTTATTAAAGATTCACGAACGTGTTCATGAACGTAAACCTACATGTTCGTGAACGTTCTTGTTAACGAACATGTTTGTGAACGTGTTTGTTAACGTTAACGAACATGTTCGTGAACATGTTCCCGAACATTAACAAACACGTTCGTGAACTTGTTCGTTATCTAAACGAACACGTTCAAGAACGTGTTCGCGAACGTTAACGAACACTAATGAACGCCTAATAAACGAACACGAACAGGATTTTCAAAAATCTTAACAAACGAACACGAACACGAACACTCCAAAATTCTTAACAAAAGAACACGAACAACTTCTGCTCGTTTATGTTCGGTTTGTTAACAACCCTATAAATATTACAAACTTTTAAAATTTTTTAATACATATGAAATTGACCCCATCTTTTTTATATCTCACTAACAAAATTAGATGCATTCAAATTCTTGTGTATATAACTATATAATATTTTTAGAAGATTTATTTTCAAATATGGTCATCAAATCCTAATCTGTTAATATTGTGTGACTGTAGTATTTGAAAGAAACTTGTGAATACAAATCAAGGTAATCAATTACATGTATGTTAACATTGTGTGTTCGTAATATACAAATTATGAATTTTTAAAATATAAATTGTGAACATTTAAACTCGGGTCCACAGAATAATTTGCGCAGTTCTTTTATGTTGAATAGCATTGCTTATGGATCGTTATATCGTGCACCAGGGCGAACAATGCATTGTGCGCCATGCCCAAAACAAAGCCGTTTTTATGTTAAGAGTTTATGAGTATTATGTTAAGAGTTTATGTGTATTCTGTTAAAAGTTTATGTGTATTATGTATTATGATAGATTATGTGTATTATGTTATGAATTTATGTGTATTCTACTATACAATTATGTACATTCGAAATAGAGAATTTTTTTTTTCTAGAAGTTAACGACAGAAAGCCAGAAACGGGAAACTGAATTTCTAAAAAAAAAATAAATATACAAAACGATGTCGTTTTGGCCAATGCACACAATGCATTGTGCGTCCTGGTGCATGATATAATTTTCCATTGCTTATATCTTAGACCTTGATTCAATTTTTTTTTTTTTAAATACAAATAAAACCTATGTATTAAAAATTTACTATATATATATATATATATATATATATATATATATATATATATATATATATACAAACTTAATAAAAGTCAATAAAGTTAGGTCTCTAATGGAACTAAAAAACGTTGGTGTAATTGTTAGTTGAACTGAATAGTTCATATTATTTTGATTTAGTATTTTTTTAATTTAAATTTCCTACTTTTGGCCCTCTATTATATCATTTTACTTTTCTTGCACACCACCTGAGTATCTATTTCCATTATGCTATCCATTGACATATCTCCATCGGGTTGAACTGCATATCATAGTTTAGAGGAGTCTCTTTTTCATTGTCATGTTTGTCACCAGGATGAGATTCACATACGCCATGACTAGTTTTATCGTTTCACGCTTTATGAAAAAGAACTCGCCAAGTAAACGAAAGGAAGAAACTCGTCAAAACAACGAGAGGAAAAGCATAGAAACTACAAACAAAATTAAACCAGTAAAACAAAGCAAAGGGAAACAACAATGCGAAAATAAGGGAGTAACGATCAGTATCGGTGGAGATGGGGGGTGGGGCAAGGCGTAATCGGTGACGAAGGCGGAGAATAGAAGAGAAAACGGTGAAGGCAGAGAAGACAATGAAGGCGGACGCTGTATGCGGTGGAGATGGCGGCAGGGGAAGACGATGGGACGCCGCCTCCGATCCGCTTGCTTCACGGAGGCAGCGACCTTGTAGAAATTTGAGCGGTCGGAAACCAGAGACGAGAGAGAATTAGAGTATAACACCCCCCAAAAACAAGCTATATAAAAAGCCTTAACACATGCAGATATCACAACAAAACACTAGCACAGCGGAAGATAAAAGGGTAACTGGATAACATAAAATCCAAAACAGGGGTGTTATGCCACGCTTATCAACACGATAAACGCTACGGCCAAATCTGCATGGTATACAACTATCCAAAAACTCATAGTCTAAAGCTAAATCAGCTCACAGGCCGTAAAGCAAGGGAAAGATACTACACTTTCGGGCACTAGACATCGCGCTCGACTAGACATCACCTGAAAGATCACAAAGATAAACATGGGACGACACCCGGTTAGCGAATAATGCTGGTAACCCACCAATACATGTGAAATAACATAAATAGGTAAGATATAAGTTGTCAAACCATTTTCGAAATGGAATACATATATATAAGTGTAAAACCAAGAGTAAAAACCAACATAAGACTCAACACTCTCAACGAACAACACGGGAACACATCCCAAGACCACAAGAACAACACGACTCACAAAAGAGTCAAGGCCTGATCTATCATCACTCAATAGATCAAAACCCGACAAGCACAACGCCGAGGAAATAAGACTCACACAACCGGCAACACATGCCTCTGTGACTACACACGTCACAAGAGAAGAACACACAACACCGGCTACAATAGCCCTCGCGACATCACCCATCACGAGTTGGTATGCCTGCCTTATGCCCTGTTCCAACCTTATGGCTACCCCCGACCTTGTTTCTTCAATCCAACCATTACCTCCAGGACCCCTGTACTTCTTAGTCCAACCTTTTCCCTCCTGGGACCGTCGTCCCCCACCAACAAACCACAAACAAGACCACCAATTTCATAGTACATAAGGTACCGTACACACACACGGCAACACATACCTTCCCAAGAAAATACGTGAACCTGACACACAGGTCACAACTCCATAATCACGTCACGGCCACCACGAGGACCGCTGCAATACCTTGGTGACTAGTGTCCCATAGGTAAAGCCACACACGCATCACACCTCCACAGGAATCAATCAACAGATTACAACGAAGGTATGAAACATACTCAATCAAGGAATGGGTCACAGCCCAACAACAACAATGATGAATAACAAAAGTTGTCATCAACCCATCGGAAGGTACAAACAACCCACACGCTAGCATTTAGACATCGAACTAGCATGCTTATCAAACGGATAAACCAAAGGTAGTTCCGAGGAACACACAAGACACATCACGGTTCAACGAAACACAATGTTGAACACTTAGCACGATTCAAGACACCAAAGTCCTACATGGATACCTACCATATAGTTCTAGACATACGAAACATCAAGAAGACACTCAAATAGTTCCACAAAAGAACAACGGGAAGTCAAAAGACCAAATACCGAGTAAAAAGAATCAAGGGGAACAAATACCCCATTCATCTCATCATGTTCCCCGCGGGTGGACCCACGGGTGGTGCCCCGCCCGCGGGAACACTCTTCCCACAAGCCTTGTACTTGCGGGTGGGGCGACGGGTGGTGCCCCGCCCGCCGTTCCGCCCGCGGGTACATGTCCTGTACCACAACACCAACTTCGCGGATTTTTCATCTCCAACTCAAATTCAAGTCCAAAACATGCCACATCTCACCAAATACAACAAAATGACTTGAATCAAAGGAAATGCCAAGCAATGGCACACAAGAACCCTAAACACAAGCTCTAGATATGCATTTTCACAAAATCATGCATCAACACTCACATTTCATAGCAAAACACATGTAAAATCCAAGAAATCACATATAGGTAAGCAAAATAGGTTTTGTAGAGCATGGGTTACCTCTTGTAGACTAAAAGACTTCACTTTACACCTCAACAAGCTCCCCACAAGGTTCACTTTCCAAACCCACTTCAAGAACAAACCAAAAGATCATAAAGATCCTACCTTTAAGAAAAAGACATCTAAGATGGAACCAAAAACACAAGATGGACTTAGATCTTACCCTCCTAGATGCCCAAATAGGTGAAAGGTTGAATCTTGGAAGCAAATCTTGAAGTCTTGGCAAGGTCTCAACTTAGCTTGGAGGAAAAGCTACTCACCTTTCTAGAGAGAAGGTAGAGCTAATGTTTTAGAAAGTGTAAGGGGTGAAATGAAGATGTCTTCTAGGTTAGGTTACAATACTAACACTTGGTGAAAGGTCAAGAATGCCCTTACTAACATTAGAAAGTGTAAGAAACAAGAGAACTCCCTTCAAAGCTCAAGGTACAACTTGACTTTGGAGTTGACTAGTCAAATAGTAGTCCTCAAGTATTAAAAATCAGGATTTTGGGAATTAATTTCTCAATTAAAATAGGATTAATTACTCAATTAATCCATGGATTGAATTTGGATTTTTGGGGTGTCACATAGAGAAACCCGAATCTCTTGTGCGCTACGCTACATGAACTTTGGTTAATTAATAAACAAATTATTTCTGTCGGAAGTGGCAACAAGATGAAGCATGGATCACGCCAAACTGGTAAAATTAATATGGTTCTATGTTGCAAAAACTATGCTTGGGTACTATCTAGTGAGAGTGTTTACCTCTAAAACTGCCATTATACTAGTTAATCAAATATTTCTGCCACAATCATATTTATGGATTCTTGAAATATTTACTTTCATAAAAAAATGAGATAATATTGCATTGATATACGACACGATATCGAATGATACTTTCATAAATTCTGAAACACTAATTTAATAATACACATTGAGCATTAAACTATTCGCGCAATGCACGTGTGGTAACTAGTATATATATATATATATATATATATATATATATATATATATATATATATATATATATATATATATATATATATATATATATATATATATATATATATATATATATATATATATATATATATATATATATATATAGATAGAGGATCAAATGAGGTCATATATCTACATGAGGATTGTGGTCAATTATGCACCTTTGATTTTAATTAGATCTACGGTTCTTGTTTTTTGGGTTTCTTTTTGAGATTTTTTTGCCATTATTGCCGCCAGTTTATTTTAGTGTCTTTTTAGTCTTTGCAGGGTGTTTTTAGTCTTTGCATTTCTTTTACCTTTATTTGTTTATTTTAATTTTGGTGAGCTGCATGTTTTTAGGTGGATTAAGTATGGTAATTAAGATTTCTTTTGATTTCCATGGTGATTTACCATTATCTTTATATTTTGTTGTCTATGCGTTCAGTCTTGTTACTTCGTGTTCTGACAAAGATTGCCGACTCTTCATTTTCGTGGTTTTTTTTGTTTTTTTTTTTTTGTTTTGTTTTTTTGTTTTGTTTTGTTTTGTTTTTTTTTTTTATTTTTTTTATTTTTTATTTTTTATTTTTATTTTTATTTTTATTTTTTTTTTTTGCGTTTGGGGCTATGGATTCTCCAGGTTTGTTTTTTTTTTTTTGTTGATTCCAATATATATTTATTGTGTATCGTTATATATGAGTTTTGTGCATAGTTATGTATTCGTGTATAAGATAATCGGTGTGGTTGTGGTGCGGTGCTTTGGTTTTGGGTTGTCGATGTATGCACTCTTTACGTTCTTTGAGTTCTTATTTTTTTGTTTAAAAATATTTTGTGTGGGTTGTGTGTGGTGTTTTTTTTTTTTTTTTGATATTCTGATTTTAGTCTTGTGCAATTTTTATTACTTTGTTGTTGCATTGATCATATTCGTCGGTTAATATTATTCATTTGCATTTTTATTTTTATTTTTAAATTTGTATACTATGTGTGGTATTTGTTTTTTATTTTTAAACATCCTGTTTCCTAGTGGGTGGTGTGTGTGTTTACTTGGTTTGTTTCGTATTGTGTTTGTTATTTTTAGGCTGGGGTGGTTGATTCGCAGTGTGCATGGATGGGCGTAATAATTGTGCACCCTGTGGCAAACGTTTCAAAAGTTCTAGGGAGTTAGCTGTCGAGAAGTCGAAACGTCGTCAACGTCAATGTCACACCTGTGACGAGTACGGCCATAATAGTCGTACCTGCCCGATGCGCAAAGATAAAATTTAAGAATGATTTTGCATCTGAATTATTATTTTATTCTAGTCTTAGCACTTTCGTTTTTTTTTTTTCAACAGTTTTTTTCCATGCGCTAGGACTATTGTCGGTTGTTTTGTTTTAAATAATGGTTTGAAATTTATGTTTTAGAATTTTTTTTGCCTGTTGTTTTGGTTTTGTATTTAATTTTCTTTTTTTGCCCAATCTACTATCACAACGTCGCACAAAATTAACTGGGTAGTTTAACTGTCTTGCACATTGGAATCTTCTATGGTGGCACATCCTACGTCAGTTTTTTTTTTTTTTTTTTTTTTTTAATAATAAAAACCAAGATCTTGTTTACGTTGTTAGGTGTTTATATTAAAATTGCAGTTATATAAACGTTTACGTTGCACAATCCGGTTATACTAATTCTTAATGTTTTGCACAAGTATTTCCTGGTTAGTTTAACATACTTGCACAATGTGATCCATTGTGGTTGCACATCCTAGCCCCCTCTCAATTTCAACATAACTAAGTTCTAGTCCACATCCTAATGCTCAATTGTTAGGTTTTTATATTAAAATTGCATTTACATTATTACTTAGGTTGCACAGATTGTTCTCTCAAGTTCGTTAACATTTGCACCGCTAATTAATTCATCCTTGCACAACTTCTTAACGGTTTAATAACAATTTCTCCAACCTTTGATTTATATCGGCTACACTTAAAATTGCATTTTTAATAACATCACCATTGCACATACCAGTTCTGGGGGGTTTGTCGTGCTTGCACATTGTCCTACACCATACTTGCACGAATCCTAAAGAATGAATATATATTCCTCGTTTATAGAATTTTACACACATGCAAATTTGAATTTGTATTAAGCATCAGTCATTAGGCAGCATCATGTTTCTGTTCGTAGTTTTGCCCCTGCCTGTCAGTAACATTAATCCTACAACTTTAATAGCTAAAATAAATTAATGCACATTAAATTGAATAAATAGAAACCACCATGTTGCACAAGTCTCTTCTGAAAATTTATCCATTTGCGCACATTGGTCTACGTCATTGATTCTTTACTTCTAAACCGTGATTAGGCATTTCACAAAACTTTAACAGAAAATAGTTACTAGCAAATTTAAATTGTCTAGTAGTATGTTACTTTGCGTTCTTCGTGCCTCTTGAAGTCATCAAAAACTAATGTCACAAGTCGTTTCAAACCGCTTAACTCACTTCTATTGCACCCACCTCCTCGTTCCTGGTTATTAACAATCCATGTCAAATATAATTCAAATCATTACCCAATATGTTATAATGACTTTGTAATTAATCTTTCTTACAAATCAGGATTGTCAGACTGTATTAGCCACTTTTTCACGTCATGTGGTGTTGGTGAGTACCACTTGGATATTCTTTACTATTGCATTATTAATAATAATTCCATCTTCTAAAGGTTTACCTTAACCGGATCCTCTTCTTCATCTTCTTGGTTGCCTTTCCTAGGTTCCTCTTCTGCAGCATTTCCTCCATCCTAGTGTCATCACGCACGGAAAAGTGTGTTAATTTTTCTGCATTACTTAAATGTGCACTGCCAAATGTGCCCCTTGTGCATCAACTCATTATTTCTATATCCTATAATCCACTCATACTCACCTCATTCACCAGATTACTTATATTCATGTACACACTACATCAGATTACATTTTCACAAAAACTCTGTCTACACATTTGTCAGTTTGTGCTCCCCCATTTTTTGTTCTCACTTTGTGCAGCCCTCTGTTTAAGGTTGTTTGTTCTCCTTTTATATTGTCTTCTCTTCCCGAGTTACATCATTATCGTCTTCTCACTTATTAAAAAACCTCAAAGTTAGTATAGATTTAGTTTTATGCCCTACGTAGTCTCACACACCATCACTTACACTCCACTAATACCCCCCCCCCCCCCCCCCCCTATTTTTTTTTGTCTGTTATTACACCAGTATAGACCTCCCCCAATTTTTTTTTTTTAAAGCAAACAAACAAAAACAAACAAACAAACAAAAAAACATTCAATTCGTCTTTCACACATCTCTTCCAGGAATCCACCTCGTCTTTCCCAGCTTCAATTTTCTGTCCTCACACACCCCCCCGGCACTCCATCGGAATGAAAGACAGTCTCGACCTTCATCACCCATTTACGACCGATTTTAATAAAAATCAAAGACTACAAAAAATCACACAATAGCAAAAGAAAACCACACAATTGAAAAGTCTACAAACATGCAATTTCACAAACATTGAATACCATTTTGCAGGCAATCAATCAAAATAAAAAACATTATCACAAAAATAATCAAGGTTTTGCTTACGGAGTCTACTCGTCGCTTCAATGGATGCACGTCGCTGGCTTCCTCTTGGTGTTCTGTCGACCATAGTTCCGGGTTATGTATCAGCCGCGAAATCTGTGCGATTTTTACTCTCTTAGTCGATTGTGCAATGCGGACAGCTCCCCTTAAATTCCGTCGTTTAAACCCTAGTCGAATAGTCCCGATGCTTTCGCTCTTTCCATTCTTGCCGTGCACAGTTAATATTCCATTTACCCTTTTAACCCCCAAATTAATTACTTCATCCGTTACTTCTCTGTTTTACTGGCCTTTTACTTTCCCTTATTGTGCAATCTGGTCCGTTAGATTGTCCCATACAATGGTTGTCATTAGACCTCAATCCTCACCTAAGCCATTAGCCGCACTTGAACCTCACCCTATATATATATATATATACATATATATATATATATATATATATATATATATATATATATATATAGATGACTTTGCTCAATTCATTATATTCATAGAGAAGTTAAATGACTGTGCATATTGAATGTCGGGTAACCATTATTTTCTTGCTCATGGTCTTTATGCACTCGTTATACCGTGAACCACAGCGCACATAGTACTGTGCGCCCCGCGCCTCCCAAAACGACGTCGTTTTGTAAAGTTTTTTTTTTTTTTTTTTTTAAAAATCAGCTGTTCCGAATGGACATAAACTCATAACAGAATACACATAAACTCATAAGAGAATACACATAATCTAACATCTATCTATCTACATCTACAAATCTAATAAGAGCCAATACGTTAGGCCCTTAACTGGAACAAAAAATGTCGGTCTAATTATTTCTTAAAATGAATGGTTCATATTATTTTGATTTTAGTATTATTTAATGATTTTCCTTATTTACCCTCTACTATATTATTTTCTTCCAATAATAACCCTAAATTCCGTTAGTATAAATTTTAGTAATGAAATATTCCGTTAACTAATTATTATTCTTAACTTACTCATTAATTTCTATGAAAAGGTCTTAGGTTCAAACCCTATCGCAATTAGAGTTGGCATAATTGTTAAACATATACTACAAATATGTTAAAACGTAATAAAAATATATATAATATAAAATTTAACATAAACTTTGGTAAAATAATTAGCCCGACTAAATACATAGCATTCAAAATTGAGGATCAAAGATTATAAATCAGGAACTTTAAAAATCATTTGATTTTCTTTCATTTAAAAAAAAAAAAAACAAATTTATGTTAAGTTTTTATTTTTTATTTTTTTTTCGTTTAATTAATCTTCTTTTGATTATGTAGAATAAAACTTAATATTTCAATTATGCTTTTGCATTATTGGAATGATTTAGGTCATTATGGTATTAAATACAATTACACATGAACTCTAAAACGGTACGACCATTTTTCAAAGAATTGACAATGTTGACATCCCACTAACCCCAATTGAATAAGTTTATACATCATAATATTATCAATGCATGAAAACTTCTAAAGAAATTTGTAAGTTAATTTAACTTTTACTATATCATTATAACAATATCTATTGTGACCATATATTTTGAATTATTTATTATGAATTGACAGCAATTGTAGCAATTGACATTGACAAATTCTCAAAACAATTTGTCTCAACAACGAATGGAAATTTAAAAAAAATCAATGACTATATTTCTTTATTGTTGATGAAAAGTATATACGGCACTTTATTACTCTTATTAAGTTAAATAAATTAGTAGTTACAACAAAAAATAATACATATGTATTTAATTAATTTAGAATTAGATGTTTATAATGCCTTTAGTTTAAAAAATTATTCATTATAAAAATTTTAAAAATAGATATAATTTTATTAGTTATATTATCTTTATTTCTACAATTCAATGATTCCTCACCTTCAAATTTATTAATTTATTATATTCACTACATTGTACATTGTCTTCTTTTTACATTATAATACAACATATGTTATATTTATTTATAATACAACATATGTTATATTTATTTATAATACAAAATATGTTATATTTATTTATTTACCAAGTATTTTATACAAATATAATAAATATTAATATTTTGTTCAATACTTTCACATGATAACCTACGATACACATCTCACAACACATGAAACATGTAGGGGAAAAACTACTATTACCAAATATCAATAGGTTCTTGTAAACTAAAGAGTTCATAGTACAACTAAGATCACAGTCATATACACATCAAAGCAAATCTAAAGCTTCTTACACTATAATCTCATTGCACGATGTATCCCTCTATGCTACCACCAGTAACCCAATTGCACATGACACAATAACAATAATAAAAAAAAAAATACAAAAACAAAAAAGATGACATGTACTGAAGTTGAAGACAATAATAACACTACCCAAAACAGAATTAGAGAAATTTAAATCAAAAGTAGTATTTATTTAGACTATCGCTTTTAGACTAAGTATTTACTAACGTTATTACAAAGTTGCAAACAATTATTTTAGTGACAATTATAATCAATCTCTCATATATTATCTTGCATTTATATACTTTAAATTACCGATTCAAATAAACAAATTCAACATTTATTTACCTATGCATGAACATCCCATTGCATTGATATACTTTGAAATACTTATTTAAAAATAATTATTGGGCATTATCTCATTCGCGCAATTAAAGCGCGTAAAAAAAAAACTAGTAATAATATATAATACACATAAACTTTTAACTGAATACACATAATGGAGTTTGGTTAACAAATACACATAAACTCTTAACTGAATACACACACATAAACTCATAACACAATACACATAAATTTTTAACTGAATACACATAATGGGGTTCAGTTAACATAATACACATAAACTCTTAACTGAATAAACATAAACTCATAACACAATACACATAAACTTTTAACTGAATACACATAATGGAGTTTGGTCTGTTCGGACGGACGGAGTGACGTCAGCAAGAAACGCGCGCGTTTTGTGCCTGGGCGCACGATATAAATTGCCGTCTTTATGTGTCTAATGTATTCTTGATTAGTCCAAAGTTTACACCTTTTGCAAATCTTGTTAATTCAAAATGACATTAACATTTATTACTGTAGTTTATTATTTTTATTTTTTACAATTTTGCTTTGTACAAAAAATAATGTAAAAAATGATAACATATCAAACCGCAACTAATATAATATAACTTATGTAGGAGTATCCAACATTGCTCATATAAAAAAAAAAAAAAAAAAAAGAGCATAAACTCAAAACGACGTCGTTTTGTTAAGTTTTTTTTTTTTTAAAAAAAAAATCAGCTGTTTCGAATGGACATAAACTCATAACATAATACACATAAACTCATAAGAGAATACACATAATCTAACATCTATCTATCTACATCTACATCTACAAATCTATTAAGAGCCAATATATTAGGCTCTTAACTGGAACAAAAAATGTCGGTCTAATTATTTCTTAAAATGAATGGTTCATATTATTTTGATTTTAGTATTATTTAATGATTTTCCTTATTTACCCTCTACTATATTATTTTCTTCCAATAATAACCCTAAATTCCGTTAGTATAAATTTTAGTAATGAAATGTTCCGTTAACTAATTATTATTCTTAACTTACTCATTAATTTTTATGAAAAGGTCTTAGGTTCAAACCCTATCACAATTAGAGTTGGCATAATTGTTAAACATATACTACAAATATGTTAAAACGTAATAAAAATATATATATATATAAAATTTAACATAAACTTTGGTAAAATAATTAGCCCGACTAAATACATAGCATTCAAAGTTGAGGATCAAAGATTATAAATCAGGAACTTTAAAAATCATTTGATTTTCTTTCATTTAAAAAAAAAAAACAAATTTATGTTAAGTTTTTTTTTTTTTTTTTTCCGTTTAATTAATCTTCTTTTGATTATGTAGAATAAAACTTAATATTTCAATTATGCTTTTGCATTATTGGAATGATTTAGGTCATTATGGTATTAAATACAAGTACACATGGACTCTAAAACGGTACGACCATTTTTCAAAGAATTGACAATGTTGACATCCCACTAACCCCAATTGAATAAGTTTATACATCATAATATTATCAATGCATGAAAACTTCTAAAGAAATTTGTAAGTTAATTTAATTTTTACTATATCATTATAACAATATCTATTGTGACCATATATTTTGAATTATTTATTATGAATTGACAGCAATTGTAGCAATTGACATTGACAAATTCTCAAAACAATTTGTCTCAACAACGAATGGAAATTTAAAAAAATCAATGACTATATTTCTTTATTGTTGATGAAAAGTATATACGGCACTTTATTACTCTTATTAAGTTAAATAAATTAGTAGTTACAACAAAAAATAATACATATGCATTTATTAATTTAGAATTAGATGTTTATAATGCCTTTAGTTTAAAAAATTATTCATTATAAAAATTTTAAAAATAGATATAATTTCATTAGTTATATTATCTTTATTTTCTACAATTCAATGATTCCTCAACTTCAAATTTGTTAATTTATTATATTCACTACATTGTACATTGTCTTCTTTTTACATTATAATACAACATATGTTATGTTTATTTATAATACAACATATGTTATATTTATTTATAATCCAAAATATGTTATATTTATTTATTTACCAAGTATTTTATACAAATATAATAAATATTAATATTTTGTTCAATACTTTCACATGATAACCTACGATACACATCTCACAACACATGAAACATGTAGGGGAAAAACTACTATTACCAAATATCAATAGGTTCTTGTAAACTAAAGAGTTCATAGTACAACTAAGATCACAGTCATATACACATCAAAGCAAATCTAAAGCTTCTTACACTATAATCTCATTGCACGATGTATCCCTCTATGCTACCACCAGTAACCCAATTGCACATGACACAATAACAATAATAAAAAAAAAATACAAAAACAAAAAAGATGACATGTACTGAAGTTGAAGACAATAGTAACACTACCCAAAATAGAATTAGAGAAATTTAAATCAAAAGTAGTATTTATTTAGACTATCGCTTTTAGACTAAGTATTTACTAACGT